CTTGGCCCACAATTCGTCCGTTTCTAGAGCCGACTGTGACATCTTCTGTCTCTTCCCCCCCCCTCATAGACCGCTACCGGGAGTTTGCCAAGCTGCGCAGGTCGTTGTGTCTAGCATCTTGACGCCCCCCTTTTGCCTCGGGGCTATTGGACCCGAGCATCTCCAGGCGCCCGCTACTTGAAATACCTCCGGGTTTCTCAGCCTCCACATATCAGCTCATCTCAATGTGGTATCCTGCCGTCTCCCCGCCTCCCTGCCTCTGTCCTATTTCAAGCCGAGCCTTGATGGATCGGTACACTTTGAGACTGCTTTGGATTCATCTATCAACGTCTGATTGGACATTATTTCTCGATCATTCTCTCACATTTCTCTTTCCACCCTCCACCTCGGCATAGTTAGACTGCAAAATAAGAAACAAGCCAACCACAAACATCATCTAAATGTTTGAGTTCCAGAATTTGTGATGCATGGCTTTGTACATATTCATAATTGGATCAATTGTGTTAAGATTTCACTAACGGTTAAATGATTCTCGTCATAAGCCCTGACGAGGTTGTTTGTTCATCTTTTCATTTGACCGTTTATTTTACTGTAGTTTCCTCACTCTTGTCCTTTTTCTTTGTTTCATATTTTGTTACTCTTGTCGTTGCTTTTGCCCTCAGCTTTTGTATTCTTTCATTCCATCCTAGTCTGGCTATTTTGACTTCGATTTGAATTCATTTGCAATCCTTTTGCAAATTCCATTTTCCACTTAATAAGTGATCCATTATTTACTTTCGCAACTTGGTCTGTTCAGGGCGACTTGGCAGAACGCACCTTGTCCGAATTCCTCTGTCATAGTCGTTATCATAATTCCCACTGTTGGACGGTAGACTTGAAACATTCCCAGACATTTCGCCGACATCGTAGTAGACAGCATTAAGCTACAACTCGTCAAAGAGACAAGTGAAGTCACTCCCTTGACCAATTGTCTGTCGGACGCTAGTTGCTTGGTACTGAGAATGGCAAAGCTAACTGACGATGTCGACTACGATGCCGTCAAAACGTGTGGCAATTTATAAAGTCCACATTCCAACGCTGGGAATTATGATAACTACTACAGTAGAAGGCTTCGAACAAGGTGCGTCCTATTAGGTTGCCCTGACAACACGATCAAGTTACCTCTATACATCGAAAGAAGACTACAACCAGAATAGATGCCTTCATATCAACATTATTTATTTCGTTGCTATTTTCATCGATTATTTATCCTTGATTCATCCATTCTTCTATTTCTCCCTGAACGTTACTCTACTTGACTCCATTTGCTGTCTTTTCTGGCTCATTGTTATTTTGGTGATTTAGTATGAGTTAATTTTTAACCAACTTTTTTTCATTCCTTTGTTCATTCGAGTTGCCAGCCCTACAACGACGTGACAAGTTACTCTAGTCCATGAAATAACGTTTTGGAAATTTCGGCTCATAATTAGGTTACCAAGGCTACCAGGAGATCATAGATACGAGATTTATTCACACAAATTCATTAAGATGTTCATTGACTGGTAGTTGAATTTGCCAACACTGACATGAGTAGGCCTTAAGTTTCCGCCGATTTCATATAGACTTGCTTCCAGAAAGGTGTGGCGGTGTGGTGTAGTGGTCAGCGTGTAGAGACCACACATTGCACTATCATAACATGGATTCGAGTCCTGTTGGGTTCGCTTTTAAGACCTTAGACAGGCCGAAACGGCAGTCCATTAAGGAGGAAAATATTTTTCGAGAGGCAAGAAAGCATAAGGTGTAAGAATTTAACCACAAGTCTATCGTTACCTTAAACCAATTAGCTGCAAAACTCGCAATCACCTCTTGAGTAGTTGGAACATCGAGTCTAAGACAAAAGGAATCAGAGCCGAATTACTGCATTTGCTTCAGCTCACCTTCTTTTCAAGTGAATATGTTTGGTGAAGAGATTGCAAAGTTGATACTACCGGAAGACGATGGTGAATTCCTCTTGTATATGAAGAAAAGTTGGGTAATGAGATGTATTCACCCTATTTCGTGTAAGGTGATGAAGGACTGGTAGTAGAATTTTCCCACAA